GGGTATAAGACCATCTCCTGGAATGTGGGCAACACCCATGGAGCCACAGCCCTGGGGAAAGCTGACTTCCCCCTCCCACAGCATCCATCAACTGAATTTGTTTTGACGATAGGGATTTTTTATTGAAAATAGGATTTTTCATACCAGGGATTGAAGCCAGGGCTTTATGAATGCCAGAGGCAAGAGCTTTTCCCAAGTTGTGCCCTAACCCTTGACCCCGATTATTAGGAACTGTTCAGTCTTTGGTACCATAGGACTGGCCCGTGTGATGCAAGACTAAAGCGAAGTTGTCCTAAAAAGTATTTTACAGAAAGATGACAGGCTTCCCAAGAAGCATATCGTCCCTGTTTGGTGTGGGTGAGTACATGTCATCGGGCATCAGGGGTGTCGCAAATGCCTTCTTCGGGTGGGTCACGAGAGAAGAGAAAAGGAGATGGGTGGAGTTGGAATGGAGAGGAACAGAGAAGACCTGCGATCATAAAGCACAAGGATGGACTAACGAGGCGGAATAAACGGAAGCAGCTCGGGAAAGGGAAGGACTGGGCCTAGTGAAGGCGGTGCGAGACGGAAACACACGAGAACAAAGGACAGGACACATGCATGGAGATTCCAGGAGGAAACCCATTACAAGTGTTTTCTTTACCTGCAAACTATTCTTCATCCTTCACTAGGCAAGAGTACTAGAGACTCCCGAGTACCTGAAGCTACCGCGGCTACCTAGGCTACCTAGGCACCACGGCGCCAGAAGCCTCTTGCTGCCGCAGACAACCTCCTCCGCGATTCACATCTAAAACGCTAGAGGTAACGTCTCACCTACTAAAAGCCCTAGGATAGGCACCTGTGCGGGAGTTACTGGCGAAAGCACTTTGCGGACATCCTGAGACCGGGAACAGTCACAGCTATAGTTCGGATGAGGTTTGTCCCCAGTCAGACTCATTCATGTTGGAGCCTAGTTCCCAGTACAAGGGTTCCGAAGGTTGGCAGGACCTTGGGGTATGGTAGGGAGCGGGAGGAAATGACAGGATCGCAATTCACCCTCGAGAAGGGATGAATGTCCGTCTCTCAGAGTGGGTTAGATCTGAATTAGTCCCAAAGACAGCGCGTTATTGTAAGAGTGAGCCTGGCCCTTTCCCGGCCATCTTTCTTCCTCTCCCACCCTGGGACCTCTCTCTCATCACACCTTGTCACCGGCCGTGGTGTGATGTAACGTAGCCAAGGAGTCCCTGACAGACGCTGGCATCATTGCACCGTTGCTACTTAAACTTCCCAATCACCAAAATCATGAACCTTATTAACCTTTTCATCGTACATTGCCCACCACAAGCACTCTGTTGTAGAAAAACGCTATAAATGGAGACAGTCATCCAAACATACTTCGTCCTCCCTCCAACACCGGCACTTTCCGAGGACCGTCTCCCATCAAAGAATAAAAACGGTAGGTCTTCAGATTTTCTCGCTAGCGCCTAAAACTTTCCCAATTTATGACATGACTTTGGAACTGGGAAAAGACAAAAGATCACCAACATGTATTGCTGAGATCTATAAGCCATCAAACTCTGAGTGTTTTCTCATGCCTCAACCTATTTAACCCACCGAGAACAGCACAGAAGGACATTTCTAGTCTGTTAAAGTCAAAGACCTCCAGGATCTGTCTGTGCCATATTTTCAAGTAGAAAAATAACCTTAAATAGTTCCACTCTTGACATCTAAAGTGTATTTATCACTCACGTTGCTGTTTGACCTATTTGAAATGAAGCATACTTTGTAAATTTGCATAAGCTATCTGATAAATATTTCAAATTGTAAAGTATCTTTCCATGCTTTGGTCTTATATAAAAATAAACTAAATTAAAACTAATTCATGGCATGTAAATTAGGCAAAAAAAATGGTGTCTGTGTGTGTGGTATGTGGGTGTGTTTTGTGAGGCATTTTTCCTGTTTTTATGTCATAAGGACCTATGTTGCACTTTGCCGAAATATAATTTTAAGATGTTGGGCTTCCTTTCAAGTCATCTACTAATCTCCCAGGATAAGGACACGTGTTCAGAGTTAACCTACACAGAATGCTTTCTCTGGCTCACCACTCACAGCTAGCAACCTACTACCCAAATCCTTTGAAAATCACGAGCTACAATAACAGCCCATCTCCGCTGTAGAGTGTGAAAAATGCGGGTTGCTTTAAAGGGAGCCGTCTTAAGACCGTTGGTACCATGGCAGCAAGCACATCACATTCTTTCTAACGAACGCTCTCTCCCTGCCAGCATTCTAGAGACCAGCAGAATTTGGTTGGCAATGCTTCGGGAGAAGGACCCGAACCAGCGAGACTCCTTTCTAATCCGTGCATCAGTTGCTTCAGCATTTTTCTCCTCATCCTTCAACAATTCCTTCGTGATAGAATGTCCTTGGAAAGCCATTTCTCATTTATTTACCTTTAGCACTGACACAAATTCCATGTATCTATAGTGTGCAGCGAATTTTGATATATAGATCTGTGCTGCATGGAGATGAACTAGATAATTATGGCCCTCGGAGATGGGCTTGCCTGATAACTCTGTGCCCAGTTGTGCGTGTGTGGGCACACACTCTGATGCTTGCACGGCTTCAGGGTTGCTCAACACTCATTTCTCAGCACACACCTGCTTCCCTGGTTAAACACACGCTGAAGTATGCCCTGTTGGGAGGATGACTCGAGCTAGTAAACTCTACATAGTTATCTTTTTTTCCTTTTGGATATAATAAAATGCTATTTTGTAGGCCTTTTGTTCAGAATCTGCTGAAACCATCGTAAGTGCTGATCTGAAGAAATCGGAACTGCCGAGCACGCGGATCATAAGTGAAGGTCAGGGCTGTCATTGCTGAGTGGCTTGCTCTCCGAAGTGACAGTGGCTGTGATCCAGTAGATGTCCCTCCCTGCGTGAAATTACTGAACATGTGGCCACACTAACTCCAGGAGAAGATCTCTCAGTGTGTCTTTGTGACCTCTTTAAAGTTTGTTAAACCCATGGTACCCAAGGGAAAGAGGGCAGCTGGGAAGCTAAATGTCTATTTAAAGTGAGGTGACCATGAAGTACCCCCTGTTCCTGAACTGAACCTTACACAGGTTATGGGATGGATCTGCTAAATAAATTCCCTAACCAACCCATAACTTACAAACAACTTTTATTCTTCTATTTCACATCTGTGCATAGCTCTAGGCTATGTTTCATCCCATTTTTAACCTTTGAGGAAGCCTCCCCCAACCCTGCTGCACAAAAGCCATGCATATAAATTCTTCACCCTGCCTCTGCAAATTAAACAGCAGGTGCTTGAAGCTTGCTTGAATTCAAAGGTGCTTTGCGAATGACTTGCTAATGGCTCTGGGCTATGTCCAAAGATGACAGAGCTACCCACACAGTCGCACAGCATTTTAACTTGGGAAAAATCCTCCTAGGATCAGGTACCCGAGACAGCACAAGGGGAGGGGAGCTGTTCTGTAAAAATTGTCTCCCGTGAGGTCTGCGTGGAGGAAGGTACCCAAACCTGCCTCGTCTCTAATAGAAAAAGCTTCCCATCTTTGTCAAGAGTGTCACCACGCAAGGTCAGCTGATGGTCAGCAGGTCACACTCTACCTCAATCTGTCATGATCACCAGGTAGGGAAAAGCTTTTAGGATCAAACTGTCACTATGGAGCCCCAGGGAGTTCATACCACAAAGGCATATTTGTCTGCCAAAACCTAAAAACACAGCCACACCACAACAGACCAAGTAGAAATAATCAAGGTAAACACCAGCAATCCTAGATGAAAGCCATCCCCAGAGTCTAGCAAGAGGCAGAGCTAGACCACTGGACATGGCCCAGAGGCCAAGACCTGAGGAAAACCACAGTCTTCAGGGATGAAAATGTCACCACTGACACCACTGAGTCCCTGATGTCTGCCCCTAGTCAAAACCTTTGAAATGTTGAAAAGGTGTTATTGCTTCTTATGGGCTCACATGAGATTCTGGTTGTGCTGATACTGAGGGGAAAAAAAGAACTCTGACACCCCACTCCCCACCCCCGCCCCACAAATCAAAGTACTTAGCTAAGGACAGGGTGTCTGTGTTTCTCCAAACATGGTTTGGAGACTAATGCCACCCACATCATGTGAGAGTTTAAAGTGCTGATTCTCAGGCTCTTCCCCATACTAAGTCAGAGACTGGGGGATGGGGCCAAGCAGTACGTTCAGATTGGTGTTCGTGTATGTGCGTGTACACATGATATGAGTGTAGAGGCCAGAGACACTCTCGGGTGTCATTCTTCAAGCACCGTTTACCTTTTCCTCGATGTCTCTAATTGGCCTGGGGTCTCCCCAAAGAGACGAGGCTGGCTGTCAATCAATACCACGCATCCTCCTCTCTCCACCTCCCAAGTATTGGAATTATTACTAAGTCACCATGTACAGCTTAGATGGGTTCTGGGGATCAAGCTCAGGGCCTGATGTTTGCCAAGCAAGCACTTTGCTGGTTGAGATATCACCCCAGTCCCAAGTCCAGATGATTCTGATGAACAAGAAATTTAAGAAGAATGATTCACTGGTCTGTTTTCTTTTCTTTTTTTTTTTTTTTTTTTTTTTTGTACCAAGGACCTCACTTTGAAGAAATGATGGTCATGCACCCCATAAATATATATCCCAGCATGCCCTGCAGCAAAGGAGATCAATGGTGTTCGTGTGGAAGTAACTGGGAGTGACCTCCAGGAGAGCAGGTTTGAAAGAGCCTGGTTCAATCGGGAGAGTTGGTCCAGAAAGAGAGACAGCATCACAATAGGCCTTTTACACCCTTGCGCGGTCCTAGCACCATAGGTGGCTGGGTCACACCGGCCAACCTCTCAAAGTCCCCATATGAAAAATTAAAAAAGGTAGAAGGGAGGATTCGGTCGCCTTAGGAATACAGAAGAGACCTAAGTAGTGCCCAAAAATGGTCTCTAGCCTCAGTTCCTAGAGATTCACTTAACAGTTATTTTTATTGTTTCTGCCGTGAGCCAATAGCCAGGGAACCCAAGAATGGAGTTATTACATGATCTCAAACTCTTGTGCTACAAATTTCAGAAACAGGAAGCCTCTTTCACCAATTAGTTTTAATAAAACAAAAGATCAAAACTCAGCATCAAGAGATAACACAACGCAGTTGAAAGTAACGACTCCCAAACTGACCATCATAAACTACGTCACGAACTGTGAACAGTCTGGTTCAATGAGGGAACGACCCTTCCCTTTCACCCTCTAAGGATGCCATGAGGAGTCTCTCGGGGCAAAACGAGATGGATGGCTAAGAGTGTTGTACATTATCCCCCGGTGACCTGCCACAGAGACTATTTTTAAAGACACATTCATCTCACCGGGAGTGACAGGAATTATGAGGTGGCCAGGTACCACGGCCAGCTAATCCTTCATGAGAGGGGCTGCAGACCATGGTGCATCCTTCATACAGCCCAAGTGATGGATTGGGAACTGCCCTTGGTTGGTTAGGTAGATGGTTTTTAAGGATCCATAAACGCAATTTAGACAGAGCTCAGAAGCTAAGCAGGGTTAATCTACAAAGGGCTGCAGCCACCCCTGCACTCAAAAGGCAATAAGATTAAAGTTTGCAAGATCCATCCGGCTGGAAAGGCAGACTCTGCCTTGGATATTTCTTAAGTGGCAGCTGCTCACTGGGTTGTATTATCCCATTAAAGATTACTGCTATAAGGAATGTGTAATCACAGATTTACACAATTCTCTCATGGTCCTAGCCGATGCATTCCATATCATGAGAAAATGAGGAAGGATATTAGAGCTATATTACAGAAAGTCTCTCGTTATCAACAGAGTGCTGTGTTAGTTAATGTCTATAAAACACCAGGAGAAGCATTAATACATTCTGTATATTTATATATATTTATATTTGGGGGAATCGGGGTGTCGCATCAGAGCTGATGTGACATCTTCCTTCCCTATACAGAAAGTAGTGGGGATGTCAAGAGGCGGGGACCAGAGAAGCAGAGTAAACATGTTAGCCAGACTTGAAGATGGGAAGGAAGATCTCAAAAAAAAAAAAAAAACCAATTTCCCCTTGCTGATTTATACTCAAGGATCTACAGAAAGATGGCTTGAACTGTCATGGGAACTAAGCATTCCCACCAAACTGAGAAAACACTCAACATAGCCATTAGTCTCATTTAGATTTGGGGAGGTGTCTGATAGGCAAAGTTTAGCACGTTACAGCTCCTGGGGATGCTGCAAATAAAGAGAGAAAACTAGGTCATACAGACTGATGCTCCCTGGCCCAGGCAAGCATAGATCTAGTGACAGGAACACCTACCTTCCTGTCTCCACCACTGCTAGACTGTCCTGACGAAAAGCACGTTGCTCTTTCGACATCGAGTGAAGACCTCAGATGATGGCTGACACCGACCAGAGCAGTTTGCCCTGACTTCCTCTCCCCACCTACTTCCGCATTCAAGGTACGAACTGGATCTCAGGAAAGATCCCTTAGAACGCTGAAGACATGAATGTACATGACACCCATCACTTCCTAACTTCCACGTTAACGGCCTGTTTCAGAAGCCCTCGACCAGGACATGGAGCGCAAATTTCTCGTAGGGCCTGAACATCATAATAAATGTCCATCGTGCCTTCCTGCCAAATCAAACAGGAAGAATTCGCACTTTCGAAGAACTCTTTCCCAACCTTAGTCCGTTACTGTTAGTCTCTATACAGAGAGCGCCAGCAGTCAGAGGGCCCTTGGATTTGAGTTTCACAAGTGATTGACATAGGAGAGAAAAGGAACTGCCCCGCTAAACTGAAAAGTCCCAAGGTGGAGAAAACTGCCCATGGCTTACTTGGTGCATTCTCTTGACAACAAGTTAGATGGCTGTATTGAATTTGTGCTCAAATGTCATTCAGTTGCACCTAGTGTCCTGGGACCTTGAACGGCAAGTCCTCCCCAAATATGGCTGAAACGCTGACAACGTGAGCAGCTACCATTTGTCAAAATAAAACCTCAAAACTGTTATATACAAACTGAGTTTACAGAACACCCATCCTTAAGTGTCTCTGACTCGAGCAAAGTCATAATAAATATCATTCTTGGTGTATCGTGCAAAGTTGAGGACGCTTGGGTAGAAAAGTCACTCTATACACAATTTGCTTAAGTATGTGGCTTTTCTGATATCAGAATATCTTCAGTACTACTGTGCCAATTTTCAGATGGAAAATATGTTAGGTCATACTTTGAATGCAAACGTAAATCCTGTTCTCCTCACCCAGTATCCATGTGATGGCTCCAACTCCCAACCAAGGCAACCTGCCAGGTCACACAGGGCTCCCAGGAGCTACGTGGAGGAGCTCAAAATGTTTCCTGTCCTCAACTTCAGTCTGAAATGCAAATAATTCCTTGCACCTCATTCAGAGAAACATATACTCCTTGCTCACTGTATTCATTTACTGGAGGGTCCTCCCCTCCATGCCTTGGATGGAGAGACCTTAAGAGAAACACACAGCTCTGGGGTCCTAAGGGTGACTCAGGACACCCCTAGTCAATCACCTGAGTTAGGCATGTATTGACAAATGCAGTGGGTCCTAAACTAGGGATTACAAAGTCCATTTCTCCTCCTGCGCTGTCCATGATACGCATGGACAGGGAGAGGCGGGAGGTGTGGCTGTGCTGGAGCGTCCTGGAGAAGATCTTCCCATCTTTCTCCCAGGGGGCTGTTCACATCAGGACCTGCTCTCGGGTCTCCGGCAGTCGGAGGGCGATCAGGCCACCTCCAACCAGAGAAGCGGCAGCCAGAAGGATGGGGACCACTTTGGTTATCCCAACGAAGGAAGCAAAGATCGTGTTTCCCAGGATGGCTCCAAATTTGCACAATCCGTTGAGGATGCCAAATGCCGTGGCCCTGCAAAAGAAGAACATAGGAGAGAATTCTGAGGTTCTGGACCTCACCAGACAAGCCGCACTGGGTTCTGACCTTGTCATAGGAGGAGGGGTGTGGCTATGAGTTTTTTTGCCTAGATATAAAAACAATGTTTTCGTTTGCGCCAACATTGGAAATACTGAATAAATAAAGACATAGGGACGCCTAGACTAATAATCACTATTAGCATTTTGGAGTATTGCCATCAAGTTTCTCTATCTTCCCAAGCCTATCTCTTAGTAAAATACCTAAGAGTAGCGCTTGCTCACAGAAATATATCAAGAAATCAAGCTGCATGCAAAATAAAGTGTGAGTGCAGCTACTTCACAACACTCTATCCTGACAGACTGCTAGCTTGTCCTGAAAAGCAGAGCTCCAAGTGTAAGACTACATTTCCCAGAATTCTTTGCTGCTGGCTGTGTGCGCGTGACTTAGTTTAGGCCAATGAGACAAAAGTGCAAGAAGCCGCTACGGAGAAATTTCCCGAAGGTTTTGAGTGGGCTTTTGCTCTCCCTTCCTTTATTTCTTTTCCCCTTTTTGTCTTACTTCCTGCAACAGAGATTGTCTGTGTTGGAGTATAGACAAAGGATAGTAATAACATAGGAGCCTAAGCCATCTGCTCAAGCGGCTAATGACGAGCATATGCAGAGCCTAATCCCCCGGGCTGTTCGGAATTTCACGGGTAGAACCTGGTACCGGTTCACTATCCCTGGATCCCATTTCAATGATAACCATCAGGAACCACACAGCCTGTCCTGATCCTGGCTGTATTATATACCAGAGTTTATCAACCTGTGGGTCACGACCCCCTCCTGGAGTTTAACCACCCTTTCACCGGGATCCCCCCTAATACCATCAGATATTAATATTACAATTCATAACAGTAGTAAAATCACAGTTATGAAGTTAGCAACGAAAATAATACTATGGCTGGGGGTCATGACAACATGAGGAACTGTAGCAAAGGGTCGCAGCATTAGGAAGGTTGAGAACCACTGGTATACGGAGACAATGTTCTTAAGTTGGGCATTCCCTGGCTGAAGTGAAATGTTTCTTTTTGATATCAAAAGTTTAAGAACGCTGGCATAGCTTTACAGTTACAGATCTTGTTCTATTGCTATCTATACCTGAACAACATGGTGTTTGGTCGGAAGCGTCACCTCAGCTCCCTGGCACCCCTTTATACAAAAAATTTGGAATATTTAGCTGGGGGCTTCACCCCAGCTCCTGGCATAAGCTCCCTCCCCTGGGAGTTGCCTTAGTCCAAACTCCACCTTCAAGAACGCCTGCCAAACTGTAACCCCTCCCCAGGGAAGGTCAAGACCACTCCCACAAGCTATTAAACTGCCCCCCAGAGAATGAACACGTGGTCTCTGGGTTCCCTGTGGTCTCCCCTTTTCCCTCTTTTCCTCTCCATGTTTTCCGGGGAGCACCGGAAGTATTGCCATCCATTAAACCTAGGCATCTTTTAATTCCTCTGATTTGGTCTGATTAGGATTATTTGGGTCGGCAGAGAGCTTTGTTGGCCAGGAAAATACTTAATACACGGTGGCTTATAAGCCCCAGTCCCAGTCCTGGCCCTTCTGTGTTTGCTTTAATGTTATTCTATTTTCGGATGCATGCTTTCCTCAATAAAATTTAAAAAGAAAAAAAACTGAATTTTTAATTATAACTTGGAAAAATTAAATGAGACTTGACATTTTTCTAAGATTAAATTGTCTCATCCATAATGAAGCATATCTTGATTTCTATTTTATGTCTCTTTTTATGTTGTAGTAAAAGTTTATGGTTTTCTTCATGAATGTTTCAGGTTGGTTTTTAGGTATTTTATAACTTCTATTATGAGATGTATTTTTTTTTTTTTTTTGATTTTTCGAGACAGGGTTTCTCCGTAGTTTTTGGTTCCTATCCTGGAACTAGCTCTTGTAGACCAGGCTGGCCTTTGCCTCCCAAGTGCTGGGATTAAAGGCGTGCGCCACCACCGCCTGGCTATCAGATGTATTTTGATAGCATTTTTACCCTTTTTGATACAGTTAAACACGTTCTAAGGGTTTTTTTTTTCCTGGTCACCTATTATTTCTAAGTATATCTTTATTTCACCCTCCTAAATTTCCTACCTGTAAAGCCACACCCCGTTCAATAATGGCCACTGCCCTGTCCCTTGCTATTTGTAAAACTTAGCATTCTTTGGCTCTGGGAAGAGGCTTCAAATATGGTATGAGGTCACAACCATCACCATCCAAATCCCAGATGCTCCGTCATCGACTCTAGGAATGTCACTAAAATTTTCAGAATTCCATTTACCCATCCTCGGTACCACGCCCATTCCTTAGGAGCAGTTCTCTGCCGTACTTAAAACTTGAGATCCCTCCTTCACGAAGAGAAACACCTACTGAGTAATGGCCTCTACCCTCTGCTTTCAAACCGTAAACCCTGGCAGTCCTGGACCGCTCTGCCTCCGCTCACCTCCTCCTTGTGTGCCCCCACGCCATGCTGTTCCAAATCTTCACCTTTTCTCCTCAGTTCCCATCACTGGGCTCAGCTGCCGTGAGGACTGCGTTATACACATACACAAGGCTTTATCTTTATCAGCCTAGCCTGCCCAGGTCCAGGCCTCTGTCGCCATCTTGGAGAGAAAATCCCCAGGATGCTTTTGGAACGTGGACTCCAATACTACGTGTGTTGCGAGATTCGGAGGGAAGTAGGTTTCTGACCAAAGAAACACCCACAAGTCCTAGAGAGAAATCCGGGGAAGAACTGACCTCTGGTTGGTGGGATACAGCTCCACCGTGATAACATCCAGAGCATTCCACGCCGCGATGCTGGTCCCACAGAACAGGCATTGCCAGCCAATCATCGCAGACTCGCTGTTGCCAAAAAACAGGAAGAAGCAGCAGACTGCCGAGATGAGCATGGAGCCACCTGTGGAGACAAGGGTCAAAAGAAACGTGAAGCCCGTGCCCCCACAGGATTTGCCCATCTTTTATCCTCACAGACTCAGCTGAAGTAACTTGAGCTATTAGGTCCATCTTCAACTTCAAAAGGGCACAAATGGGAAAAACAAATGCATACATATTTTAAATACAATTATATATGCTTGGAAAAGTGAATGTTGGCATATGCACATGGAAAGAGTAGATATACATTTATATATAACTCAAAATTGAAGATATTAAAATTTAGCTTTTTTTTAAAGAAATGTAAAATAAAAAATTAAGAACCCATGCTCACGTAGCTTACGTTCCAGGGTGAACACACCTGTAGGTGAGCTACCAAGGGAAAATTACAGAACGGCTGTTCTTCTGTTTTTCTTATGACCTGTTCTGGTTTGGATTTTAAATGACTCCCCCAAAAGCACACGTGTTGACTGAAGGGCTAGCCACAAAACCGCAAAATTCAGATGTGGGGCCTCTGACATCATGGGCGGATTAATCATTTATGGACTATGGATTCATAGCTTACTAGAGCCTGAAAAAGGAGCTTTTTAATGAAAGTAGGCTCTCTCTGCTCCCAGGCCACCGTGAGGTGAGCAGCTTGCACGTCCACATCTCCTTGCCATGATGCTCCGCCTCAACACAAACCCTAAAGCAAGGGAGGCAAAGGACCATGGACCGATATCTCTGAAGTCAGGAATCAAAACGATTTCTTCCTTCTAAGTGGAAAGAAAGTCTAGGATGTTTTATCACAGCAACAGGAACATGACTTGGACACCCCCAACTCCATCCCAGAGATCTCCCTGCCCTCACAGTCCTCCTGCAACCCTCTGAGAAGCTGACCTGCAAGAACCATTATCACCTTTATGGGGAGAGAGAGGGGCAGGATGCTCCATGATTCCTATCCCATTTTAGGAGCTTCACTTTTGGCCATGGCTGCATCCCTCTGGGACCACAGCGCCTTGCAGGTTATTCTTCCGCTACCAGGCTCTGTGAATGCTGTTTTTCTCCCTTGGTTCCCGCCAGCAGAGGATGACAACAGCCATCCCACTTTTGCCAGCGAGAGTCTTGCCTCCCTCATTTGTCCTCCCAAGCCTGGCCACACGTCTAAAGCTGCCCATCCGCAATGTCTTTTCAATAGGCCATCCCGGGTAATTCTCCGACTAGGACCCCACCAACTGAGCTGGTGATAAGAGGCCCCCATTTAAAAAGGGCTGTACCAAACCCTTTCCGAACCCAGGAAGTCCACTCGGGAGAGTTTGGGAAGCTTCTGGTTAGTTCTGGTCATGTCAGAGCAGGCTACAGGCTGAAAAGGAATGAAGGAAGGTGTGCCCCAAAGAAAGAAAGCAAAAGAAGTGGTGAGTGAGCAGGTGAGGAAAGAGCCTCTCCTTGCCAGGGACCCAAATGCGCATCTGCCTCTAAGGAGAAACTGCTTCCTGACAGGACCTCACCCTGGAGTCACACCGGAACCCTGGGACTTGGGCTCTAAGACTACTGGGGCCTCTGTCTAAAGAACTAGAGAACGATAACCGTCCACCAGGATGCTGCCCCCCTCTGGCGAGGGGCAGAACTGTAGGCAGGAACTGCAAGCTCTTTCTAACAGCCAGGAGAGGATCATGGGAGAAGGAGGCTGGCATCTATGGGCCATAAGAATCCTGAGAGCAATTTCACCTAAAGGCACGCTCTCCTCAGCGGGACCAATGTGAGGCTCAGCTAATAAATTCTGATGAATAAAACGCCATGGTTGAATCAAGCGATAGTCCAGGAGAGCTTTCTTGACTCCGTGTTAACTGCTCCTACCTTTGAGCCTCCTGACCCACTGCCCTTTAACTTCCATGACCCTGACGCCTCATCTAATCAAGAGGTCTGAGTTCAAATTCAAGCCTCACCACTTCCTATCTGTGTGACTCTGAATGGCTCATTTACCCTCTCTGCGGTGTCTCAGTTTTCCATCTGTAACATGTTAATAAAAAGAGTACCTGCCCCGTGGGGTTATGTTATGGTGAGGGTTCAAATGCATTAGTGCTTATGAAATGCTTGGAGCACAGCCTGGCAGATAATAAGCGTCCCGGTGTTAGTTAAATGAAATCTCTAGCTTATGTCTGTCTCTCTCAATCTATCGTTGGCTCTTTAAACATGAGGATGTGGACGGTCTCAATTACTGTTGTATTCCCATTGCTTCCTCCCGTCTGGTGCAGAGTAAGGACTGTATAAATAAATGTTTATTAAATGAATAAATGACTGAGCAATAACCTCATTAAGAGAACTTCTACACTGTCCTTAATAAGAAATGACTTCAACCAGACAAGAGCCCCAAGGACTGAGCTGGACAAAGCTGCAGCAGCCAGGCTGCTCTGAGGGCCCCAGAAAACGCTGCCTTAAAGCAGCTGCCTGCATCCTGTCGGGATTCTACCTAGGATTGGCTAGTACTGCTTCCATGCTGAGAGGGCTGTAGCTGGTCCATGGCTCCAGGCCGTGTGTGTGTCTTTGAAGAGACTTCTGAACTAACAAGGACACGTCCCTAATCAATGTGACTCTATCTGTTGTACCCAGAAGATGACATTCCATCTTTCTGATCAGACAAAAAAGCCAAGCCACAGGCACATCTTGTGTTCACCATTCTGAATATTCATCTCAAAATAATAATAATAATAATAATAATAATAATAATAATAATATCCAATACCATCCAAACACAAAGAAAGATTTCTTCCCATGAAGATACGATCTATTTTCTCTTCACCAACAACATGACAGTGTGACTGATTTTGTTTCCTTTTGTATTTTGACACTGGACAGTTTGCTATTAATTTTCCTGATCAACAACATCCTGGGAGCAGATCCTTAATGGCCTTTTTTTTATTAATGTGCCTCCCGCCTTCCTAGCTCGGGTCTTAGCTCACATTTAGCACACAGACCCCCGGCCCTCGATGCACACATTCCACTTCCTATTGACTCCCTCACATCCTTGTGTTTCAGCATCAGATGGCGCGTGTCCTGGTGCAAGGAAGCAGGGCAGCTGTGAATGCAGATGCCGCTCAGAGAGCCAACAACATGCTGGGAATAATAAAATGTTCTGACTGTCTTATGCTCAGCCCTCACAAAATCCTCCTGGCTATTACACCTCATCTTATTAGGAAACCAAAACCCAGGGAAAGGCATATGCTCACAATCAAATGGCCGTGTGTGCAAGGATTTCAACATGAGTCTGTCCAACAGAGCCTAAACTATTTTTATGCAATTTAAAATAGTTTTTATTCTTTAACTGTTCACCTATTCTTTTACAATTTCCTACATACATAATAGAATTCGATCATAGTCCCAATATGTCTGTCATCCCCTCTCATTTCCGCTATCAATCAACAGAAAGTTGCTATTTAAATAAGAAAAATAATATGGTTTGCCTTGAGTCATCAAACTATCATTGAAGCACATTAAATATATTTTCTAAATAATTTTATAAAGCAGCTGTGGTGGGTCTATTTGATCACTGCTAAGGGGGTGCTAATAGAACACCCTAGAAATGATGCAGGACCCCTCCCCAGCACCCTCAAAGTCTTTCCATGAAACTCTCGGATCCTGCAAATGCGCCTCCTTGGTCTTACAGCAGTAGATCCAGCCTTATCTCGTGAACTATTTCTTTAAGAGAGGGAAGCAAACCATTGTGGTCAGGAGACCCGAATGCTCCACTGCGAGCAACTCACCAATCATCTTGAGTCTTCCGATTCTGTCCATGAGCAGGGCAGAAATTATGTTCCCAGGCAAGACAGACAGGCTGCCGAGAAAGCTGACGAGGTAAATCAGAAAATCGTTGTCCTCCTCAAAGTCCATGTGGCAGCCCTCCTTCTGATCCAGAAAGGTGGAGTTGATGAAGCGACAGTCAATGAACTTGTGCTTGTAGAGGTCTGGGGAGAGAAAGAAGCCTTGGTTCATGTGAGTGGCCGGGAGCTGGGGAAAGACAGACAGACAGATGACACTGAAATGCCCTCTTTATGAACAACCTGTAACCTCAAAGTCAAAGTGATGTTTGCCAAAAATGCTCAAGTTCCTGCCATAAAAAGAAACAAAACTGATACCAATTTTAGAGACATATTTTCACTTGTATATGTTTGTGTGGTATGTACATGAGTGTGTGTGTTCACATGTGTGTGGGTATATATGTGTGCACACGCATGTTAAGACGTGAAGTTTGTTGGATGTCTTTCTCAACCACTCTCCACTTTGTCTGTTGAGGCAGGGTCCCTCACTGAAAGCGGAGTTCACTTATTCCAGCTACTCCAGCTAGCCAGCTTGCCCTGGAGACCCCTTGTCCCTGCCCCTCCAGTGCTGGGATGACAGGCATCAGTCACACCAGCTCAATCTTTGCATGGATTCTGAGGATGTGAACTCCAGCCCTCACACTTGTGTGGTAAGCACATTATCCAGGGCCTTTGGGGTTAGGGATTGGCAAAGAGCTGTCTGTGAAAGAATGAAGACACACACACACACACACTGTTCACACACAAGAATTAGGGGCAGCCTGAAGTCCACTTCAGAGCCCAAGCAGTAGCGTATTCAACACCCCAAACTTTCTCAAAAGTAAAAACCCCTTGCTGTGAAAACAACTCACGTGTTTTCCAACACCATCAAAGATGAACTTTCCGAGTAGAAAGAATACTCAGTAGAGAAATCTGGGCTTGACCGCTGACCCTATCGCGAGCATTCATTTCCCTGAACGTCTGCCTATAAAACCAAAGGCATACAGGGGCTAGCGAGGCCAGATGGCTCAGGTCATAAGGTGCTTGCCATGCTTGCCATACAAGCAAGCATCAGGACCTGGGTTCTAATCCCTGGCTTCTGTGTAAAAAAAAAAAAAAAAAAAAAAAAAAAAAAAAAAAGCCAATAGAGTAGCCAGTGCCTATAATCCTAGATTTGGGGAGTTGGTCACAGGACAATCTCTAGGACCTACTGACCAGTCTAAATCGGTGAGCTCCAGGGTCAGTAAGAGACCCTGTCTCAGAAAGGAAGGTAGAGAAGTGATTGAAAAAGACATTCAGCATCAACCTCTGGCTTCCTTATATTCACACACAACTGAAGGCATAGACTGACTATGGCCTTTGCTTCTTCCAGCTGTGACATTAGTCAACTACAAACATCGCCCAAAAAAATAAAAAATAAAAAAAAAGCCTATGCTGAGTATGCAGATGAAGAAGCATCATTGACACCTCAAAGAATAAAAGGATATGGCCGTTTTTAATGACAAAGAGAACTTCCAAAATTGGTTATTTTTAAAGTAAATCTAGGCAGAAATCCAGGAAGATATGTCCAATAACAGATTATTAGCGGCTGGAGGATTTTAGGGACCGGATATTGAAACTTCCGAAGCTGAGGGAGTGAGGTGCAGAGACGCTGTGTGAACGACGGTCTGTTGGCATGGATGCCAAGGAGAAAGCGTAAATATGGATGTGAAGCAAGCAGTCCACGCAGGGTACAGCTTTCTGAACCAGGTAATCCAGAAACGGCTCCTGATGCCAACTCCTTGCTAGCTGCAGCCCTCATCAATTTCCTAAGTCTGTTTCCTCAGCTCTAAGGTAGGGATAATCAGAATCCATGTCTCCACTGAGACCCTGAAGGGAAGGCTCTGGTTCTCCTCAATGAGCTCCCATGTGTCCCAGCTGCACCGAAGAGGTTGTTAAGTTATGATGAGCACAGCAGAAGTAGCAAAGGTGGTGGAGCAGAAGAATTCTGTGATTTTTTTTTCCACTCATGAAAATCTGAAACGGTGAAATTCTAGAATGCTCTCAGTGGCTCGCCTTATGTGCCAAGTCTGAACAGAGGTAACATTCCCTTTTGATTTAGTATCACAAAAAAAAAAAAAAACAGTTTTTAATTATGCAAGTTTTAAGTTATGCAAGGTCTCCAGGAAGGAATCCAGGTTGAAAATGCAGCCCTCCTGGAATGCTGGTTTTATGACCGTCATAATGTAGTTTTGAACAGCATCAGTCTCATTCAGAAAAAGGCAGTCTCGTTCAGATGAGGACACTGGGCCAGACGTTTTGCTTCATTTTACATGTGAAAAAAAGCTGAGATATAGATCAGACAAAAGCCAGACTTCCATAGGGCACCTAATGTATGGGGTAGAAGCCATTTCTTCCCCAGTGAGGCTGGCATTCATGACTGTGAGTCCTTTCACTATGAACACTTTCACTGTCACCTGGCTATGAGTTGTGGCTTCTAAAGCCCAGGCCACCTTTCTGTACTCCTCCCAGGGCACCCACCTTCTTACCTGTGTTGTAGAAGATGGTTGACTCGATGGTGCAGTTCTTGAAATAGGTGTCTGTGGATGTCACATCTTCAAAATAACATTTGTCAAAGAATGTGTCCTCAAAGAGGACGTGTTTAAAATACATCTTTATGAACCTGCGGGAAAGACAGAATCTCTGAGTGAAGCTTCCCAGAAAAAGAACATTTGGGGACCAAAATAGAAAACACAGAAGGACAAGAGCGACTAGTCCGTGGCAAAGGTACTAGGACCTAATTTCAAGCCAGACTACTGGCCCATTTCTCAGCTGCGTTTCTATGTCTGACAATAAACTTAGGGCCACGGAAGAAACATCTGGTCCGGGTGTACGTGGAGGATGCTGCACCGGCGGCAGAGCTCCCAAATTCAGACCCACAGACCTTCCCATTAGAATGACAGAAGTGTAGAAAGTATGGAATGGAGTTATAGCCAACAGCTCACTTTCCCATGAGCCTGGAACCCATGCAGATCCCCAGGCAGATGGGTACCGTCCTGTACATTCATAGCAGAAAATAATCAGCACAGCTCCTTTGGGGGACATTTTCACAGGATTTAAATCTTACATCTCCCTTGATTTGGAATTATCTTGCATACATTTGCTCATATATTCAAGGAGATACATTTACTGGTCCTTATAGCAATATTGTTTATGATATCAATGGATTACTATTTCTATTCACCTATGGGTGTATATCTGTATATTCAAGAGAGCTAGAGAGATAACAGATAGCTATCATACAGTGTAATACTATATGGCCATTATAATAAATAAGGCAGATCTCTCTGTATTAATAAGGAGCAATGTTTAAGACATATTAAGTGAACTGAGCATGATGGTTCACGCTTGTAATCGCAGCACTTGGGAGGCTGAATCAGGGGGGGCTGCTTTGAGTTTAAAATCAGCTTGGACTATCTATTGAGTTTCCAGACAGCCTGGGATGCAAGCAAGCCTCTGTCCTGGAAGGAAATGAGGAAATGAGAGGGAAGAAGAAACGGACATATAAAATAAAAATATTTAAAATCAAGATATAAATAGAGTTGACAGATTATGATACGTATTTTCAAATGTATTTTCACAGTTATACCGCAAAATGAAAGCAGTCACGGTGCCTGAAATTGTTGTAGTAAGAATAGGAATTGGGTCAGCTTTTCACTTTAGACCAAGGGTATGCAGGGGTTTTTGTTTATTTGTTTTTGTTTTCCCTTAAAAAATTGGCAGCTAATAATAAGCGGGCAAGGAAGGCATCTAGGTATACAGTGAAACCTCTCTCAAAATGTATATATCATATTCACCAGAGGCAAAGACCAGATTATTACACTTTCAAAGTTTGCTGCGATTATTAGTCTAGGAAATAAAAATACTCCGTGAAGGAAACCCTGCAGGAGGTGACAACAGGCATGGACGGGAACACGAAGAGGTGAGAATGAAAACTCAGGTCAGATTGACTTCATCAACCTGGACCAAGAGTCTGCTCAGGGAGTCTGAACCCCGGGCAGTTTATTTCCAACAAATTTAAGTGCAGTATAATTTGGGAAAGAGTTTCCTGGTGTAATACAAGTACCGGTGCACAAGAAGGTATAATTGCATCAAAAACTTAACTCATGGTAAAAGTTGTTTCTTCCAAGAAGATGGGTTCTAGGATGCAGAGGAAGGACCTGACCTGCCCTCGGTCATACAGACAGCATAGAGGTCACTTTGGCTATTAGCTATCTCTGGTCCTGGTTGTGAGAGCTTGTGGCAGCCTCTGGCTATACCGATGACAGTAGGGTCATTTAGACTATTAGGTATCTCCAGTTCTGGCTGTAGGGTCTTGATATGGTCAACAAACGACAAGGGGGTTAGTCACTTCCAATTCCCAGCTTTCTGGATGGAAGAACAGGTTTGACATCGTCCTCACTGGAAAAACAACCCTGCATGCTTAGCATTCCACGTTTCTCTGGGAATCTGTGGACACAAGGACCTCCATGCTGTGCTCCCAACAACTTAAATCATTTTTTTCTTAGGCCCAAATCTGAATGGACATTTAAACTCCAGCTTCTAGCGTCTGAACTTCTCAGTTTCTAGAGACAAGCTCATTGGACTATGGCAAAACAGCACTGAGGAGGCTGGGTTAGGAGAGCAGCTGTGAGGTAGAGGGCAGCCTCAGATACAGAGTGAGACCTGATTGGGAAGACAAGAGTATGGTGGCACTTGCCTATGACCCAGGGTCCCAGCATTTGAGAGGCAAAGACAGGAAAATCAGGAGTTCAAGTCACTCTCAGCAAGGAATCCGTGACCAGTCTGGCCTATAGGAAATCCTGACACAGAGGGTGAAGGGGCAGAGGTGAGGGTGGTAGGAGAAGGGAGGGGGAGAGAGGGAAAGAAAGCTATCTGGGGCACTTTTATTACAGGAAGATGTCTGTGGTTTCAAATATTGCACACCAGATGTATTTACGCGGGACAACTATTCCTGTCTCAGCCTTTTCCTTCCTTAAGATATCCTTCTCTTTAATACAATAACAGGCTGATGATGTGGCCTCCAGAGGTATTTTAATATTCTTCCAAGGGGGTTGAGAAAGCCAAGCCATAAATCAAAAACGAGTCTGACGCAGGCAGACCTTAAAATGTATCTCCAAGTGTGTTATAAAAAGCCAAAGTTATAAGGAAAAGGATAAAAGGAGAAAGGACCAACACATATTTTCTGGGTCTTTCTTTACATAAATCATCTCTCCCAATACCAATTTACACACTGAGCCATCCCAAGATTCCTCACTCTGGAGAGTTCAAGGGCTGAAAGCAACATGACCAAAAAACAGGGACATTGGTATCCACCTTCAAGTCTAGTACTTGGGAGATGGAAGCAGGGGATTATGGGTTCGGAGCCAGTCTGGGAACATAGTGAGATCCTGTCTCTAGGTAAGAGAAGCCACTGATAATGCAGAGTCTAGAAGAAAACTATTGTGATAGCTCCGCTGAGCCTACCGGGCTCCAGGGGATAGTTCCAACCCTGTGATCATATGGGCAGCCTGGGTGAACCCTGTGGGCCACAGACCAAACACAAAGGCATAAACATGTGAGGACGGTTGGCAGGAGTGAGAGGGAGGGAAGACACATGGAGCATCTTGTGCATGTATGAAATCGTCAAAGGACAATGCTAAATAATACATTTTAAAATTTTAGAAAAGAATCATTATTGAACACTCTATTTTGGTCTCCTTTAGACTCAATGCTTTGCCTGCCAGGGGATCTAAAGGACACAGGACTCATATCAGTGTAGTCCTCCTCGTGGCTGTGGTTTGATGGTGTCATCCATATAACAGTGGCTCTCAAGAAAATGTTGATGATTAAAATTCAGAGTTATCATTACCGAGACAGAGTCCATACTACCCAGTCACCATCCAGGCTCAGGGAATCCCGCTGGAGAGTGGGCAGAAAGCATGTAAGAACTCGGGTATAGGGACGAATGAGGAGAAATGCTGGCTAAAGGACATGACAGGGCTGTTGCTCTCGTGAGCTAGCAGCAGTTATGACTGCCTGCACAAGAACACGCCAGTCAACACGCCAGCATAGATGGGGGTGGGGGGTTCTTGAGCTCTAGTCCTAGCTAAGGAGCTATCAGGAACTGATGGCTGCTGGGGTAGAGAAAGTCATTTGTCATCACGAGTATGCCCACTTGTAGGTGGTCCATGCCGCGCTGGGTGATCCCATACCCATGTATATACAGGTAGCACTAAGTGAACTTAGTGGGTTATAAAGCAAAGGAGAAGAGGGGGTAGGAGGAGATGAAGGTGAAGCAGGGAACTGCTAGTGAGACTTCAGGAGAGAGTCTGAGGGAAATTAGGGTTGGATATGACCAAGACTCGGCTTGCACTTGTAGGAAACTGTCTAAGAACGACTACAGAAAATTCCTTTTAAGAAGAATGCATTTGATAGACTGATTAGGATGCTTGTCACAATGAACAGAAGGGATGGCTGAAATTATCCATCACTCAAGAGAAATTACCACAGACACACAGAGAGAAAAACAGAGGAGGACAGAAAAGGGCATGCAAATGCTGGGGGGACATACAGGACAGATGATCACTCAAGGTGAAAAGGGGAGAGAATCTGGCAGAAGAAAGAGTTGAAGAGATTATGGTGAATGTTCCTAAAGGAACAGGAAGACAAAGCAGTAAGTTTTGTGAGGAATTTGACAGGTTCAGAGAGGAAGTACAGAAGAAGCACGAGAAAAAGGAGGTAGAAGAAGCAGCCTATACCCAAACACAACGAACAAAGGCCAGGCCAGATGCGGGTGCATGCCTTAAATCCCAGCACTCTGAAGGCAGAGCAGGCAGATCTCTGTGAAGTCAGGCTGCCCTGGTGGATGCCGTGAGTCTCTGCACAGCCAGGGCCACATAGTGAGACCCTGTCTGGGAGGCTAAGGGGGAAATCTGAAAAGGAGGAAGAAGAAGAGCAGCTCCCATCTGAGTGTGTGTTAACTAGGAACTGAGTAATTAGTGTGCCTCCTGCTGGGAGGAAGCCTTTTGGCTGGACTGGCTGGTGAAAGGGGCAGGCTTGGGGAAGCACCAGGGAGAACTTCCTGACTCCTGTCTGCCATAGTTCAGGGCCCCAGAAACAATGCCCTGATCCCCATCTTTCCTCACTGCACAAGGAAAATCAGGGCTGTATTCTGAACACTCGGGATTGGACCCGCAGTTGAATGTGTCACCGTTCACGCAGGTGATTTGACAGCGAGGAGCAGAAAGGCAAAGTCAACAGGGCTTTCATTAAAGGTCAGCTGTGGGCAGCTCAGGGTGAAAGCGAGGCTTGTGAGATTCACCTGCAAATGAGCGCTGCAGGAAGCAGGGAGAGCAGGGGCGGAGAGCAAAACAGTGCAATGAGCAGAGGTGGAGCTCATGCATGCTTTTGTGTTTTCCCAATGTATTTCTATAGCTACAAGCATCTCACAATTGGCTTTTATATGTGTCATGTTTCAGGTATAGGTAGTATGTTATAGATGTATATGTTAATTGCTATTATTATTGGTTTTTAGAGACAGGGCCTTATATAGCCCAGGCTGGACTCAAACTTGCCATGTAGCTGGTGATGTCTTTGAATTTCTGATTCTCCTGCTCTCACGTCTCACTGGGATTACAACTG